GTGAGGTTAATCTTTATTATACAATTATATATAATTATTATATTTATTATAATTATTTTATATAATTATAATTATTTATTATTATATTATTATAATTATTTATTATATAATTAATTTCTTATTAATTATTGCAAAAATCTCAAAAAGATGTTTTTCTACTCGGCTTAATTTGTTCTATCTTGCACACGAAGAACGTACGGTTACATATACATATAATATTGCTTAACAAATCTAAAAATGCACTCATTGACATTAAAAATGAATTGTAAAAATAATTTGAGTAAAATTGTGAAACGCTTTACAATGTGTAATAATACGAAATTAATACTTATTTTTGCCCTCAAATTCGCTCCAGATTGTACCTATTTTAACAGCATCGATTTATCCACTATAACTGTAACTTTAACACAATGATAACTTCTAAATACCGCAAACTAATGCGAAAATTTAAATATATCTATGTTTCTGCTTTTTCAGTATGTCTCCTTTACAGACGCGAATTCGCGGAACGTTTGTGCATACGGTTAAATTTGACGACAGTTTGCCAGACATTTTCCCACTGAGAACTACAAAATTACGGCGAGCGAGTTACGCAGAAAAATAACGAACCAAAGTGTGATAACAAAGCGTTGCACAGATGCGTTTGCAAAATGCACGCAGAAAGCTGTCATCCGTTTGTAAATCACTGCGTAATGATACATTTTTACATTATTCCTTTCGTATTTCCGCTCCCTCCTGACCACAGTAAAGTAGATGAAGGATCCAAGATAATAACACAGGCCTGCAAAAAAAGGGGTCAAAATTTCTTTCTAAGATGCAATAGTGATTTTTGACGTAATTTTGTACGCTGAATCCGAATCTGGTCGCCGAATTTGCGTAGCCCGTCAGGTTTTTGAGTTATTTGTAGTTGAATAGCCCAAAAATCGCTATTTTGGCCAATTTCATGAATTTATTATGAGTAAACCAAATTTTTTGAAATATTTTTGTCAATGGCATCGTATAGTACTCACCTTCATCTTTCGAATCCACTTTCGATTACCGCCGCATAATTTTTTTTCACTCAGATATACAAGTCATAAGACTGTTCATGCATAGGAATCTAATAAGCCATTCTAAATCAACCGTGTCACCTCTTTATTTCACTACGAATCAAAATTAGGATAAAAATATACATTTTTAAACCTTCTATCACCTTTTGAAATTAAAAATGACGCATCCAATATGGCGAATAGGATCACAATAAAAAGGCATAAAATTTAGAAAAATTTATTAAAATGTGTAACAACTGTATTAGATATTTCTTTACAATACTTTTTTGGCCAACCGAACCTGACATATGTCAGTCTTTTCAAATTTCAAGATCATGGATCTACCATATTGATGTCTATATAAATTTTCTTTAACGTAAATTTTCTTACAACGTCATACTTATATATCTCAGCGAAAAAAAATCGTGCAGCGGTAATCGAAAGTGGATTTGAAAGGCGAAAGTGAGTATTATACGATGCCATTGGCAGAAATATTTCAAAAAATTTGGTTTCCTCGCAATAAATTCATGAAATTGGCCAAAATAGCGAATTTTGAGCCATTCAATTACAAATTACTCAAAAACCTGATGTGCTACGCAAATTCGGCGGCCAGATTAGAATTCAGCTCACAAAATTACGTAGAAAATCACTATTGCATCTTAAAAAAAAAAACTTCGCAGACCTGTGTAATTAGTGGAACATGAATAGCAAAATTCTTGGTCGCGGATCGATAATGCGCTCGTAACGTACTGTACGACAAGTGATTTACATACCAGCGCGGCAAAAATATCATGGCAATATAGTGTTGGTGCATCGACGTTATTCTGAGAGTCCCGGGCATAAATAACTCCTTGAAAAACGGTCAGAAATGATGCGTCGTATCTCATGTTTGAAAAGCATGTCGCGCATACACGATAAATTACACTTCACAATATTAACCATCCGAATACCCATTACTTTCTCTCTTTCTCTCTCTCTCTCACACACACACACACACACACACACACACACACACACACACACACACACACACACACACACACACACACATTATTAATATAAAAAGAGAGAAAAAAAGAAATAAAAAAAGAAAGAAAAAGAGTGTTATTGAAATACACAATCGCTCGGAATCGTCTTGCGAATCTTATTTTTAAAATGTTTTGATTGCATTAATAATGGAGAATTTAACGGAAAAATCATCATTCTCTATTCTTCAAAGCAAACTTCCATTTTTCTATACGCGACCTTTTCATAAATACGAAATCGATCTCATCATTCATCATGAGTAATAATATTATTCAAGTGACATTTAGATTTTTGCAAGCTATAACGCTTAAATTACCATAGATGGATCTTTTCAGCAAAATTAATGAAACATTAATAAGTATCTAGCATAATGAATTGTGAATTTCTATGCATCATCAATTCATCTCGATTCATTATGATTTGACCGAAAAGATCTCTATAATTAAGACGTTATTGTAATCCTATTATTATACAGAAGAGTTATATGGACCTTCGATCGGTCTCTTACGAATATCGGGCAAAACAATTGCCACTAAACCACCTGTTACACGTGCCAACTTTTTTATAATTTCATAAGGACGCAACTCAATTTACACACCTATTAAACATTTTGCGTGCTTTATTAGCGCGATAATGTTACGACCAAACTTCGAGCTTCCCATTCCATAAACATTCTTTTCTCCTCGTGCAACTTTTCTTGCTCCAAAATACAATGCATGCGGTTAACGGTAAACTGGTTGCTCTATTATTTAATTAATAAATTAGAAAGAGAACGCGTGTTTTAAATAAAATGCTTAATGCCTTCTAATATAAGTAAAATTGTTAATTGTGAAAAATAAATAGTAAATAATCTTATTCTGTTATTTTACTCCGATATTCTTTATCTCGCGCGAAAAAATGCATGTTGTGTATTTTACAACAATAAAAGTTGCTCTATTATTTAATTAATAAATTAGAAAGAGAACGCATATTTTAAATAAAATGCTTAATGCCTTCTAATATAAGTAAAATTGCTAATTGTGAAAAATAAATAGAAAATAATCTTATTCTTATTATTTTACTCCGATATTCTTTATCGCGCGCGAAAAGATGCATGTTGTGTATTTTTACAAGAATAAAAGTTATATTTTACGCTAACATTATATTTATATGCAACATAATTATTGCAATATATATCACTCGCAAAATTAGAATATAAACAAATAAGTTAAAGAAACAATAGTAGACTCTCTACTGAAAGACCATTAGCAGATAAATCTTTTTGCGTCGTATTTTTTGTTAAAGGGGCAATCTATTTTGCCTAGATAATTTTCACAAATATAAAACACAATTTCAGGAATTGTCAAGTATGGTATAAAACGGAATCGAGCGATATAAACGCGCCTTTTTCGCCAAGGAAAATATGTGTTGTAAAGCGCGTCTAGAATTGCACGGTGACACATCGGCAAGTGAAAATTTCTTCAATAAGGCAACAGAAAAGAAAATTTGCAACATCCACACGTTATATAAACTAAGTGATGCAGTTCCGAAATTTTACGATAAACATATGTCACCGTCGTTATTTTGCCTAAAAATAAGTTTTTACTTGAGAAAGAAGGTTATATTATTTCTCTCTCTTGAATTTTTTTATTACACAACTTGCTCTTTTTTGCAATATGTCAAAGACTTCTAATCATATTTTTCTAATTATGTTTAGAATATTATAGCAATCTTATTTTAATTTATTCTTGTACACTTTGTTGTTAACATATCATTACATATTTGATGAATTACAATTTTCAGATGCGCTAATATTTTGTATGAGGGAAAAGCAATGTCATGTACCATTCGGCACGACACATGTAACCGCAGATAGCGGCGTTCATATAATTTAAAAATAAAATGTAAAATCAAATCATCACTGTCTCTCGTAAACGTCATGAACAAAACCTGAAAAGTGGCAAAACCGAGCTCGATGAAGACAATGAAATGAAATTATTCGTCGCACGATTTCCTCGTGCAACAAATCGTGTTAAAACCATAACGCAAGCCGAACATCGAAATTGCTGTCACGTCAATCTTTACGATTATACACACCCGACCATTAACATATAAAAACCGATTGTTCTGCGTATTAACTTTTGATAACAATGTTTAAATTAATGCTCAATTTAATGGATGTTAATTTTAATACCATTTAAAATATTACCTCAGATATTAAGAGTTTATTTTTAAAAAAATATAGCATTATCAATATTTCACTTGCAAAAAACAATAATTTAATATTGCAAAAAATATCTTATTTTAATCATTGATAAAATTTATCTCGATGACATAAATTCTCTTTAAAATCTCCTGAATAATTTAAAAATTTCTTATTTAAAAGATTACATTAGATTTTAATTACAGCTCGGGATAATGCAATTAATAATTTTTTAATGACTTTAATTATTTACTATCCAATAAAAATTTTTATTGAACTCAATCACATATTAATTAAAGATAAAAATGTCTGTACTTTAAATGTCTGTACTATTGATAATTTCTAAAGAAAAAAACGAATATATATATAAAAGGTTCAAAGAATACAAGTTTTTTTTTAGTATGTTCCAAATTAAAATAAAATATTTTTTACATCTAAATTACTAAATTACTATTGCTAAGTAATTTCCAATCACTGTCCTATTATCAACAAATTATATTATTATGCAATCTGCTTGTAAAGTGAAAAAGTTTATAATTTTCTCATAGATTTCACGAACATATCGTACGATTATCTTTGATTTTCCGCGAATGATTGCTCCGACATGCGATGATATATGCTTAACGAGCAGCATAATTAACAGTTTTAGCTTACTACATGTATCATACATTACGTGGTTTCCGGCACGATGATATTACGCGATGAACAATCGAAACGCGGGATCAAAAGCAAGAAAAATGACACAACACGTATTGTTTACTCACCGACTAGCTCCGTACGCACGCCCACCAACAGAGTGGTCACTACCAGAAGGGGCACCTGTCGTCGGCGCGGGCACAGCACGGCACGTATCTCACCCATGATTCTCGTCGTACACGTGTCGGTCGCACGCGTGTCACGCGACACTAGAGTATCGCTGCCGCGTCGAGACTGAACTCCCGACCTGCCGTGAGACTACGTATATCCCAAACCGCGCACGAGGCGAATCACTCGCCCCCTCCTGTTTGCCCCCTCCCTACTATCGCAACCGGCCGCGCGCGCGAGCGACAGCGGCGGGGGTTGCACGTCGTTTCATCCCCACTGCGCGCCGGTCGCGCCGTTCATCCCGCTTCGACGTGCCATGACGCGACGCGGACACGAGGGGGATGAAATCTCCCGCGTCGTGGAGCACCACTGTCACTCGCGCCGACGCTCCCGGCCGGCTGGCTGACTACCTGGCTGGCTGACTAGCTGGCCGACCGTGTGCGCGTGGCTAGCTTTGCTTTGAGTCACGCTGACATACATGGATTTACTTAGATCTCTCGGTGATTATGACAAGAGGAGAGCTTCTAAGCCTCCTCTCGCAGTCGGACTTCACACATCTCTCGCTACTTAAATACAGTTAGGACCAAATAACGCAAGAAAATAGGAAAGAAAGATCCCAGTGAGTATTATTGAAAGGAAGAAGTCTACTTTTTGAAAACTTCATTAATTTTTTTTTTAAGTGACATCAATAAGTTATCTTTTTGTAAGATGTTTTTCAAAAAAGCTCTTTATGATGTCTACTCATAGATGTCTTTAGAGTTCGCTTACTAGAAACTTTAAAGACATCTACACTGAGAAAAATCGTTTGATTGTACCAACAAGACGTATATGATTGAAGGCATTTTGGTTAAATCAAACAAGAATTTCTAGTTATCATGATAAGACTCGATTTTTTATAACTAGAACGTTTAATAGATTTTACTATAAGGATTTGATTAGTATTTCCTGGTTGGATCTATAAAATTTCTTGTTACATTAATTTCTTTGCTTGCCGCTACCCAGATAGCACACGTGTCCAAAAGACATCTAAAAGACGACTTAAAGACGTCTTAAAGTCCTTTAAACATCTTTAAGACATCTTTTGGCCTTTTCGTGCTGTCTGGGTAGGCGGCAAACAAAGAAATTAATGTAACAAGAAATTTTATAGATCCAACCAAAAAATACTAACCAAATCCTTATAGTACCACTCTTAACTTAACTCGTATTCAATATTTGCCATGAAATGTAATATAAAGAACTAGTATTAACATTAAATCCAAAGTATATTTTTTTTCTTTTACGAGCAGTAGTGCCAGAAAGAGGACGTTAGCTCTCTGATTATGTGTGTTTGAGTTGCATCCTCTTCTTGCATCACTGTTTATCAGTTTAATTTCTAACAAACTGAATTTAAAATAAATAATTCTATAAAGAAAGTCTTAATAGTAACATTTTCTTAACATCTATAATAAGTCAGATTGAAGTATTCTTTTAGATGTCCTGTATGTAATGTCTTTTTTTCCTCTAAAATCGATGCATTAGAGGACTTATTGATATATGTATATATATTGATTTATATTGATCATAATGTTATCATCTAGATAGAGTTGTCGGATGTCTAATTCTTGAATCTGCTTTAAGAACTCTTTTTGATAACTTATTGCTCACTGGGATACAGATAGACAGACGAAATAATAAGCCTATTTTTAGAAACCGATGTTGATAAGAATATAATTAAAATGATAACCACGAGTATGCACTGATAAAAAATTATAGTTGAAATTATCATAATTTCACTATAATTTATAGTCTCTTAGGGCCAAGCAAATATAATAGTGCATTTTACTATAAAAAATATAGTTGATATAACATGAAAATATAGTAAAATCATAATAGCCATTTCATGTAACCATATAATTATGGTATACGTAGTGTTCCGAAATTCACTATCAGTACTATACATGTTACGTGTATTACAGATTTTTAATATACGCAGCACCAAGTCGTTTAAAAGTTTTTTCCGTTTATAATTTCAAATAATCTGTTTAATATTCCGAATCCTAACAAGGAATCCAGATTATTAAATAAATTAATTTAAATTCAGTTTGTCTGAAATTAAACTGATAAACAGTAATATGTAAGAAAGAGGATGCTCACATGCATACAATCCGAGAACCTGCGTGCGAGTAACATCCTCTTTCTCACACTACTGCTAAGAGGAAAAGAATATACTTTAGATCTTACGTGTTTAATATTAGTCCTTTATATACATTTTCTGCTAAATATTGAATACGAGAAAAGTTAAAAGTAGTGCGCCGCGTAACGACAAGCGAAGAAATATGTGCCACATACAATCATTCCAAATAATAAATTTTATGTTGTTAAATGTGCTATTCATCAGGTTCCACGTACTATTTAGATATCGTTGTTATTATAATTTTTTTCATGTATTACTACTATATTAATATTTAAACGAAAAATAATAATATAGTAATATTTACCATTATTAATGTTACAATGACTATATGAATAGTAAAATTATATGTATCATTCCTTTCTTTCATTTTTTATTTATATGATATTTGAAATTATTATAAATTATAGTAAAAAGTTTCATTGTTTCTCGGTACCATGCGTATATATAATTTATATTACCAGTATTATAGTAAAATTTACTATAAAAATAAGTGTCCTAACTATAATTTTTTTACCATGCAATTATAGTCAATTTTATCATCGATTTTTTTATCAGTGTGTAATAGAAAAAAATATACACATGTATGTGTATATTCTTAAATTAACTTCTAATAAGATTGTTATCGAAATTGACATTAAACTCGAGCTTTTTCCCTCTTGAGTGAAAAGAATATCGTATAAAATAGAATATTATCCAATGTACAATGAAATAATAAGATTATATATATATATATATATATATATATATATATATATATGTATACCAGGATGATATTCATAAAAAAATTGAAACAGATTAAATAATTTCAAGAAGTTACCAATCAAAAAGTGTCAATGTGTATTAGGATAATATATAACTCGGATAAAATAAAATCTAAACCGAAAGATTAACATGAATGTAACGATTCTGAATGTCGACACTGACTTATTAATCTGATTTATAATTCCGAGTTCAAAGATATCTTCTTCCTGGCACGCGCAGCACGAGAGAGATTTATATAATTCGAGTTAAATTATATTTACTTTGCTGAAGCGCAGCCTCTCTCTCGTATGTAGAGACATAAGTGTAGAATATTTGCGTAGCGTGATGCAGCGCGAAATGATTTAAATTCTGCGCTCCGACACTAGACATCTTCTCTAGCAGTCACATAGAAACAGAATCGATACCACTCCACGCGATAAAACATTCAAATCTGAAAAGAGTTTCCGCTGCTCGCGATGCAAACACAAACAAAGAAATCCCCGCGCAAAGAATGGCATGTAAGTGGACATCGACCTGGAGCATCGACAGAATTTACTTTGAAGTTATATACTATGTGTTATATTTACTTAATAAAGATCGATTGCGAAATAAAAATTAATATGTTATTTTAAATGTAGTTGTGTATTAACGTAACTTGATGCAAAAGATGAAATATGTATACCTAACTTATCATTATTATTCGCAAATTGATGAAATATGTATATCTAACCTATCATTATTATTCGCAAATCGGATTTCTTTTTATTATTATTTTTTATTATATATGACATTTTATTAATATCACATTAAATGTATCATTGACCAAGTAACTTTAGCCGATTACAAATTATGAATAAAATTAAAAATATTTTATTTTGCATGCATTATTAATCAATTTGAAAATATATTTAATTCAGATAATTTGTTATGCTAATATTTTACTGCACCGATAGAAATCAGATTGTTGAAATCGAATATCAACATCATATATAATTTTCTAAAGCTATACATAATTCTCTAAAGCTGACAGAAATATGAGAAAAAACTTTCGAATGGTTTTAATGAAACAAGAAAAGAGATTATGCATTTTTATTCAATGCGTATGAACAAGATATGTACAATTGAACATTTTGACACATACACACACACATATACAGATACATATGTAAATTAATCGACCGTACGCAATAAGACCATTCTATTCAGATTATTTCTCTAACAATACTCTCATCAAAGGGAACATCATCAATGGCTCCTCGTATAGATATCCTAGGTAATAGACGTCCTAGTTTCCATGAAAATTATAGAGCTCGAGGATTATCTGAAATGCGATGTGTTCGATAATTATTTCGATTATTTGCGAAGGAAGTCAAATCATCCTTTTTCGATCTTTTAGTTGACAAATGACGGGAAAGAAGAGAAAAAGAGAAAATCTATATGAAATCAAAAGTTAGTTTTCTTTACATCACAGATGCTTGTATATTTTACTTAAATTGCCTAACGGAAACCATCGTATAACTACGGAAAACTATTCGCAAGCGCATCCGATAAAGGAACCCGACGAGTAATTGGAAAAAAACCGGCGAGCGCGAAACTTTAGACTATCGATTCCTGTATACAGATTGGAGGGCTGGCGATATAAAGGGACCAGTTCTTCCTCTCTCTTTCGTATGCGCGCAGTCAAAAAAGTGGATTCTCTATTTCGAAACTTTTTATTTTACTGCTTATTTTACCGATACGGAAGTGCTTTAAGCGCTTTCTTTAGGAGAGGCCGAAGACGTTGCGTCCCATATAGCACAGAGGCTTGCTGCAACGTTGCTGCAATGTTACAATATTGCTCACTGCAGTGCAATGTTGCAGCAATAATGCAGATACATTATTTTGTAATATTATTTTGGCAATGTTGCAGCAACGTTTTAACATATCGAAAATGTATAACATGTGTTTCTTTACTTGCCGCTACGCGGTGACACCCAATTTAATTAACTCGTATTCGAATTCATTTAAGATGGATATAAGGTCTACAAAGGATTAATGTAGTAATTATATTTCTTGTCTTGTTTTAATTTCTGATAAACTGACTTGATTTACTTAATATTCTGAATCCTAATGAGGTTAAAATAATTTGTTTAATAATCTGGATCCTTCATTGGGTTTCAGAATATTAAACAGATTTTTCTTAATTGAATGAGTAAATAGGAAATAATTCATT